CTTTCTTTCTTTCTTTCTTTCTTTCTTTCTTTCTTTTTCTTTCTTTCTTTCTTTCTTTCCTTCTCCTTTCTTCCTTTCTTCCCTTTCTTTTCTTTCTTTTCTTTCTTTCCTTTCTTTCCTTCCTTCTTTCTTTCTTTCTTTGTATATTTAGTTAGTTAGTTAGTTATAGTTGTATTTTTATTATGGTGACATTGGTTAATGAAATCCAGTAAGTTTCAGGGGTACAATTCAACAGTAAGGCATATATGTACATTGCACTGTGTGGTCACCGCCCATAGTTAGATTTCTTTCTGTTACCACATATTTGACCCCTTTTACTCCATCTGCCTCTTCTCTCTCCCCTCCCCGCCACCTTCTGTTTACCACTAGTCTAGTTCCATGTCCATGAGTCTCTGCTTGTTTGTCCTGTTCATTTATTCCAGGTGGGATTTTAATAAAGGCCACAATGAATCTGTAGATCAATCTGAGGGGTGTTGTCATTTTAGCAATATATAATTTTTCAATCTATGAACATAGGATGTCTTGCCATTTATTGAGGTCTTTAAATTCTGTCAACAATGTTTTATAGTTCTCAGTGTCTAAGTTATATGTCTTTTGTTAAATTCATTCCTAAGTATTTTCTTTTTGCTGCTATTGTCGATGAAATTGTTTTCTGGATTTTATTTTCACTATGTTCATTGCTAGTGTATAGAAATACAATTGATATTTTGTGTATGATCTTATATCTTGCAACCTTGTTGAACTTATTTATTAGTTCTAATAGGTTTTTCAACTGCTTCAAATTTTCTATTTATAAGCACATGACACCTGTGAATAGAGATAGTTTTTTTTTTTCTTTCAAAACTGAATGCCTTTTATTTATTTTTTCCTTGCCCAATTGCCCTGGTTAGAGCCCTCAGAGTAATGTTGACTAGAAGTGGCCAGAGTGGACATTCTTTTATTAACATTCTTTTATTAAACTAATCTTAGGGGACCAGTTTTTTGTCTTTGTCTATTAAGTATATCTATAATAGGTAATTTTAAAACCTCATTTACTTATCTGGGCCCCTTAAGGGACATTGGCTGCTTCTCCCTACCATATGATGTATATTTTCCTGTTTATTTGCATGTCTCATTTGTTGTTGTTGTTCTTGAAACCTGGGCATTTAGATAATTTACCAACTCTAGTACTGGATCCATCTGCCATCAAGATTTGTTTTCTTGTTGGTACTTATTTGTTTGTGAATACAGATAAATTCTGTATTCTCTGCAGTATGGCAGCCACGGTTTCCTGCTAGTTTTCTATTTTAAGTACTTATTTTTATTTTTAAGACTTGCTTCTTAGCGGTATATATTGGTCATTATAATTTAGTCTGCCAATCATTGGTTAAAAGATTTTTTTTTAATGCTTTCCCTATATCTCTTCCCTTTGCCAAAGGGATCTATGTGAGAAGTCACGCCCTTAAGCCTCAGGCAACTTATAAGATAGCTTTTACTTCCTGCTTGGACTGGATCTTGAAAGTTTACTAAGTGCGACTTGGGACTTACCATTTTCTACATATTTCTCGTATGTGCACAGCCTCACTCATGCATACAGTCTTTTAGAGCCCCACAAACTTGCTGGAGCTTTTAAATTTTTTCTGTTGTTGCCTAGTTTTTCTTTCAAATTCCCAGCTAGTCTCTTGTTTTCCCCTAGTGAAATCACAGCCTTAAGTATCTTACTGGCATGTTACTATTGTTTTGGTAACACCTTGGGGGTGGGGAAAGAGCTTTTTTTCTGAGTAAAATCAAACAGGCACAACACACTGAGAAGAGAGATTTTCTAGGAAGCTGCAAGTTTAGAGAAAAAAAATACTGTGTCCTAGGGATAGTCTTTTTTTTTTTACCATCACTCCTAAAAAGGTCAAACCCCTCTGCTGACTGCAAGGCTGCTGATTTTTGGCTTCTATGCTGTGGAGTTGGGGAGAAGGGCTAAGAATAATTTCAAGTTAAAATGTTCTCTTACCAAGGTTCAGAATTTCTTTTAGATAGACAATTTTCAATGTATTCTGTGGCTTTCGTTAATCTGTAGAGTTCTGAAGTACTTGATTCTAGTTATTATGCTCATTTGTTGTTTTAGTGGGAGGATGAGTTAACCAGGGTCCTCATTCTATCATTCTAGAAGTCAAGCTCTCAAGTGCTTTACTTTTGCTTTTGTTCATTAGAAATTTGTTATAATCATTTTTGCTGCTCCTAAAGTCACACTTGTGGATCTTCAGAACCTCAAAAAGCCAAGTTGTTGCAATTTGATGGTAGTTTTTCTGTACACTGCATGGTCCTCACATGTATTGTTTTCTATTATAGGGCATCAATTCAGCAAACCCGCTTTAATCGCCAAGATGGAGCGAGAAGATGAAATGGAGACAGTAGAGAGAAGTCACCAAGATACTTATTCAGGTGACTACCAGGCATATATGAATGTTTCATCTACCAGATTTGGTTGGAGTAAGGAGAAGTTACATTATGAAATGTCAATCAAGAAATTTAAAAAATATCCTTTTAGTTTAAGGAGAAAGCAGAAATTATTTGATGTAAGCTTCCTCGTGTAGTTTTAATTTTCCCCAGTCTTGCACTTTTTACCTATCATTTCATACTCTCTGTGCTCTGAAAGATATGTCTTGCTCTTTAATATTAACATTTGGAATAACTGTCTAATTCTTCCTATTTTGCATATATAATAATAACCCTTTCCTGTCAACATAATTTTCAATTATTATAGGACCATTTTTAGTAAATTACATAAAATACTAAACCAATTAAGTATCATTCTTTTGATTATGAATACATTTTTCTTTCACATTGTCTTCCTAAGTTTAGGGTCAAATTTTAAAAGAAATCCACATGGGCCTTACTTTTTTATCATCATCTTCCCATATTTCCTAATCTAGCATTTTGAGGTTATGTTTCCCGTTTGTTAAAGACAGGTTTTGTGAGCTTTACTGCTTTTATCAACATATTCTCACCATGTCTTTTCCAAAACTTACTTTCCCCCAATTTATTCAGATGGGATAATTCTCCTGAAAACCAAACATTTACGACATAAACAAGATTTTTTGAAGAAAGAAACACTTAATGGCAAGAAGAAGGTAAGATTCACATGCAATAATTTCTTAAACTGCACATTAGAAGCCAGAACTCCGTGTGATAGAAAAGGAGCACAAGAACTAGAGGGTAATTCGAGGCAATTAACTCACACTTGTCTCACCAAAACAAAGCAGGTTTTCTAAATATTATTAACTTGGAAAGAAACTCACAACCAAGCACCGAAAATGGTTACAGAAGATCCCCAAAGTAAATATTTTACTTTGTAAAATAATGTAAAACAAAGTAAATAATGGAGATTAGGTATTATATGTTTAAAATATAATCCACTCTAAAGCAATTACATGTTAAAACTACTGAAGAGACCCCAATGGAGCCATCTAGTATAGCATTCAGCTTACTCGATTAAGCTGATAAACTTAAGCAGTCAGAAATTATTTATTCACTAAGAAAATGTTAAACAAATTCTAATGCCAATAAAATGCTTGTTAGACATATTAGAATTTATGTGGGGAGAGATTCTCAGTATGTTGAATATGGTGTCTTGTGGTTATAACTCACATTTTAATCAACAGGAGCAAAGTCATGAAGATGAACTCATCGAAGGGCATGAAACTATTAAAGCCTTGAGCAAGAAATCTAGCATTACTCAGAATAAGAGAATTCATCCTAGAGAGAAACCTCATCAATGCCTTGACTCTGGAAAAGCCCTCAGAGATTGTTCACTTCTTAAGCCACATGAGAGAATACTTCCTGGGAGAAAATCTCGTGCATGTAAAAAAGATGAAAATGTCTTAATCAGGAGCTCTCACTTAGCTGTACACAAGAGACAACATACAAAAGACAAATCCTATGAATGCAGTGACTGTGGGAAAGTTTTAAGTTCAATCTTATACCTTAAGAAGCATGAAAAAACTCACATTAGAGAGAAATCTTTTGAATGTAGTCAGTGTGGCAAATTATTACAAAGCCGTTCATCCGTTAAGTTGCACATGAGAACCCACACTGGAGAAAAACCTTTTAAGTGTAATCAGTGCGGGAAAGCATACAGCTCAAGTTCTTACCTTACACGACACAAAAGAATTCATACTGGGGAGAAGCCCTATGAATGCGATGACTGTGGAAAAACCTTCAGAGATAGCTCACTTCTCACACAACATAAAGGAATTCATTTAAGAGAAAAACCCTACAAATGTAATCAATGCAGCCAATCATTCACTAGGAGATCTAGGCTTACCATGCACAAGATAATACATACTGGAGAGAAACCCTATGCATGTAATGACTGTGGGAAAACTTTTAGTATTTTTGCATACCTTACGAGACATAAGGGAATTCACACTAGAGAGAAATCCATTGAATGTAGCCACTGTGGAAAAGTACTAAGTAGTCAGTCATCCCTTAAGACACACCTGCGGATACATACTGGAGAGAAACCCTACAAGTGTGACCAATGTGGGAAAACTTTTCGAATGAGCTCTAATCTTATTGTGCACAAGAAAACTCATACTGGAGAGAAACCCTATAAGTGCAGTGACTGTGGGAAATCCTTTAGGGATCGCTCATGCCTTAAAGAACATGTGAGAATTCACACTGGAGAAAAACCCTTTACATGTAATGAATGTGGAAAAGCCTTCAGAGTAAAATCTTTCCTCATTTTGCACGAGAAAATACACACAAGAATGAAACAATATGAATGTAAGGAATGTGGGAAAGTCTTCAGTGGTTTCTTATCTCATAGGAGACATATGAAAAATCACACCAAAGAAAAGAAACCTTTTAAGTGTAGCGAGTGTGGAAAAGCCTTTCGGAGGCATGTATCTCTTACAATACACATAAGAACTCACACAGGAGAGAAACCCTATGAGTGTAATCAATGTGGGAAAACCTTTAGTGTGAGGTGTAATCTTACTGTGCACAAAAGAGTACATACTGGAGAAAAACCATATCAATGCAATGTCTGTGGGCATGCTTTCAGTAAACTCTTATACCTCCGGTGTCATGAGAGAACTCATAATGAATAAAATTTCTAATGACATTCATATGGAACAGCATTTATTGAACTCTCAGTCTTCAAGACATACAAGCAAATGCTAACTGAAGAGAAAAACTGGGTGTGAAAAGAATATGAGAAAGTCCTAAGATGAGCTCAGGAAGGACAGAAACCTTGGAGCAGCAGAAGGACAAAAACTCACTTGATCTTGATTTTCAGTATGAATACAGACCTTGAAAGTGGAGCCTCATCATTTTTTATTTCCTTAAAAAATAAAAGTACTAATAATGATAATCAAAAATGTGAGAAGGCCTCTGAATAACGTGTATGTGGGAGAAACATCAGTTATGCAATGGCCATGAGAAATCCTTTATTCATCAATCATCCCTTAGAAGATTTATAACAGTTCAACACTGAAGAGAATAACTTTTAGTATCTAAGACTTGTTACTTGAGAAAAATGAACACTTAATGTATTAAGTTACTATGTTTTCAATGTGTGTGTATGTGTGTGTGTTGTGGTGGTGGGAGGAAGGTTTCTTTTACTCCCAACTGACTGCAATTACTAACCAAAATAATCCATGGCATGTCAGTTTTTAAAATTGAATATAAGGTAAAAATATTATTTGGTATAGGAATGTGTGTTTAATAGATGTTTACCTATTAGATAAAGCTTTTAGAATATTACTCAGCTGTATAAAATGAAATTTTACCATTTGTGACAATGTAGATAAAACTAGAGGATATTTTGCTAAATAAGTTAGAAGACAGACATATACCATATGATTTCACTTATATGTGGAATCTGAGGAACAAAATGAACAAACAAAATGAAAACAGACTTATAGATGCAGAGAACAAGCTGGTGACTGCCAGATGGGAGTGGAGGTTAGGCAGCTGGGTGAAAAATGTGAAAAGATTAAGAATTATAAATTGGTAGTCATGAAATAGTCATGGGAACATAAAGTGCAGCATAGGGAATATAGGCAATAATTGTAACAACTATAGTGCCACGTGGGTACTAGACTAATGGTATCACTTTGTAAATTATAAATGTCTAACCGCTATGTTGTACACCTGAAACTAATACAAAATAATGTCAATTCTAATTGAAAAATAAAAATAAAAACTTTTAAATTGTGTTTATAAATCATATATATAAACTTCATGTCTCTTGATCTACTATTTCCTGACACATGGTCCATAATGAATCCTCCTACAAAAATTGTGGATGATTAATTCTTGAGATTCTGAACTTAATGACACATGTTGTTGTTTACATTTATCATGTACAGAACTGTACAACTCCATGAAGTTTTACAAGATAAAAAAAACAACTGTATTGACTACCACAAACACTGGTCAAAATAGATTATCAGTACCCAAGAATTATCCTTTAATTCTTTCTTTAAATCACTAATTGTCTTGATTCCTACTACCAGAATGTAATCTATGAAATCATATGCATTTTAACAGCTTATTGAGATAATTTACATACCATAAAGTTCACCCTTTTTGAAGAGTAAAATTCAATGTTTTTAAGTATATTTATACAGAGTTATATGCATCCTTGTACCTGATGTCATATATTATCATTTGTTCCCATTCTGCTCAACATATTTACAAGATCCATCTATGTTCCATTTAGTGGGAGTTACTGTCATTGCTGTATAATTTTCTTTGTATGCACAATTCATTCAACTGTTTTTGGACATTTGGATTATAGCTGGGGTAGTTTATAAATAGTTCTGTAATGAACATTCTTGTTCATGTTTTTTTGGTTCATAGTTCATATTTTTGTTGAGTATATTTAGCAGTGCAATTTATGGGTCACAGGGAATACATATGGTCACATTTATTTAGTATTAATTTTTCAAAGTAGTTTGGAAAACAATAGACATTTCTGCTAGCTAATATTTTCATCTTTTTCATTTTGGCTGTTTTAATGACTAATAGTCCCATACTTTAATTTAAACCTTTGACTTTGATTTTTTTCTTTTTAAAAACTTTTTATCAAACTACTTTACACTTACAGAAAAGCTGCAATAATAGTACTGAGTTCCTGTATAATTCTCAGATTTTCCCAATGTTAATGGAATCAATTAACTTTCCTTTATGGTTAGTGTGTGTGTGTGTGTGTGTGTGTGTGAGTGTGTGTGTGTGTGTGTGTGTGTGTGTGTGTGAGAGAGAGAGAGAGAGAGAGAGAGATCCCGTTAAGAGTGCTAGTTTTAGTGTCTATTTTTAAGATGACCTCTAAAAGCCTGCCCAAGTAACTAGTAAATTAGTTGTTTTGCTGCCCCTTTTCTATAGTAGTACTAATCTCATAAAGGGACTTTAAGAAAAGAGAAAATTTTCTTAAGAGTGACTTGGTGAAGATGATTCCATGATACATTTCTGAGTCTCTGTTCTTGTGGGGACAAAAAACTATTCCTGTCCTCTAATTCTTTGGTGATAATCTCTGACTCAGAGAAAGCTGAGAATTGGTCTGAGAAGCCCACCAGTTCCCTTAAGTTCAGATCCAAGAATTCAAAAATGAGATTCCTTGGAGATGAGAGGAAACATGTAGGAGGAGAATGACATATCAGTCATCTAGGAGTTCTCTTTTATGATCTGTGCTCTTTAAGGATTCGAACTGCCTTGGGTAAGAAATGATAGTACACATTTGGCTAATGAGGAGAATTGGGAATTGAGGCCCAAAGGCCTCCGATACTGCAAATAGGCTCAGTGGTGTTTTGACCACCTTACTCAATAGCTCTATTCAGGAAACAGCACACCCAACCGAGTCTCCAGAAATGATCCTTCTTAGGAGTCCAGTTGCCTTACTTGGTCTACCTGCCCTTCCTGGGGACAGATTCCCCATCCTTGCACCTCAATATCCAGAGGAAAGGCGAACTACTCGTTGATGGTTCCGAGGCAATCTGAAGTGACCCAGTAACTGCTGTGAGATATTGAACAGATTTTTTTTTTAACCAATCTATCTGGGGGATACCTAATAGGTAAGAGAAAATCCAGTAGGATTAATTTGTAAGTGAAATTTGAAACCAATTTTTGACCCTCTTTTTGATATACTTACTTTTCCTCTTTCATCCAAATTGCAGTCAGCTTTCATCATTTCTGGCTCCTACTCTGTCTTCTAAATCCCAGGGATTCTTTCCCCACCTGATCATGAATTAGCTCCTTCAAAAACCAGACAGATAATCCAATTCTCTGATTTTCTTCAATTTTTTTGGTCATGAGTGGGGCTGGGCCGTTGTGAGTTTGACTTCTCAATTTTCCCATATCTGGTTCCAGATCTCATCCTTAGAGAACTCAAATCTCATCCCTATCTCCTAACTGTGAGGACTCTGGGATTGGAGACAGATCCACTAGTCTATCTTTTCAGTATTTCTCTGAAAACTCCCAAAATAAAACTATGAAATATTTTAAAACATCAGAACAGCACAAGTGGGTGGTAAAATAAATAGCCATGCAACTACTTTTCAGAATGCTGAAAATTTTCCATATTATCTTCAGGCATCTTTTTGAAATAATAAAATATTGCACATTTTCACATAAATTCTTCTTTTTAAATTATTTTTTGCTGAGTTTCAGACATCCAAAATTACACAGAAAGACCTTTCTTTGCCTTCATACAGGAATAACTTTATATCATCATGAAAAAGTCTTTATTATTGTTTATTCTTCTCCTAAGAGGTTACCACTCTGTGGAATTCGGTGGGTATTTTCCATGCTTTCACACTATTATTACATGTGAATGTGTCTCCATAAATACTCTACTATGGAAAAAAATTATAACAAACCGAAATGTCCATTGATGGGAGAATGTATGTTAAAATTAATGAACCAGACCTGTTTTTATCAATCTTGATAAATACAGGAAACAGTGTTAAGCCAAAAACAAAGTTACTGAATTAATATGAAATATGATGCCATGTATAACAAATATGAACATGTAATATATATATAGCATAAATAGAATCTTTATGGATATCATTATTCATGTGAAACACTTCAGGGACATGATACATATGAAGTTCAGTGTTATAGTTACCTCTGGGGAGGAAAGGTCAACGTTGAGATTTTGTAGAAATATTCTGTAGCTTCAAAGAGATCTACATTGTCTTATTTCTAGTTTTTTAAAAACTGAAGTAAATGTGGCATATATTTAAATTTGTATTTGATCATGCTGGCTGGTGGGTTTAAGCCCTTTATTGTCACTCTGCACTTTATTGTCACTCTGCACTTGAAATCCCCAAAATATAACAAAACATTATGAATATAAATAAGTTAATTATTTTAAGGAAAATTAATAAATTTCAACATGCTATAGCTATCATATAAATTGCTTTTCTCTTTTATTTTTTTTAGCTTAATTTTATCTATAACTAATATAAATGTTCTGATTGTGAATGTTTAGAAAATTAATATGATGAGCATTTAAAACATTAAGTATGATAAAATAGTATTAAAATAGTATGAAATAGTATTTAAATAACATGCCATAACACAGCTATGCCATAACTTGTGTATCTATTCTCAAGCTGATGTTGATTTAGGATATTTCCTCCCGCTATTTTATTATACTAAGAGAGCTCCCCGTGGGAATGGAGCACATTCCTCCTTTCTCAGCCGTGAAACATTATTCTTGGGGTGTCCACCCTTTGACTGCCTTCCTCTTTCACCCTGTCGCACTCTCAAATTTTCTACTAGGCATCAGGACTTGTCCACAGCTAAAACCAAAAATGATAGGGAGAGTTATTTTATAGAAATGAGAAAATTAAATCTGCTCAGAAAGCTTCAGGGACCTTCCCATGTCACAATTGGGGGATTCATGATTGAACCAAGGAGTGTCCAGTTCAAGTCCTAACCCTTGATGATTCTTGTTTTTCTCCAAGAAAAGTAAACTGCTCCGGGCCTCAATTTGTGAGGCAAAGGGCTTGAATTAAGTGGGCTCACCACACCGGTGATTCATCTCTACACATGTGATTCTAAAATATATTTGGCTGAGACACTGTTACAGACATTCTTTTAAGTCATTAGTTCATAAGAACAGTGGACAGATGCTTTGACACTGCCAGCATGTGCCAATCTTTTATTGCTTTTGTTTTTGTTAAAAAACAAAATTCAACTGAGTAAATTTGAAGATCTAATTGGCTTTATTAAGCGATTTGAGAATTGAGCAGCATCCCATCTAGCAACTAGAAGTGCACTCAAAGGGATTGTACAGAAGGGAAGGTTTCATAAAAAGAAGCATGGGGCAAGAGAGCTATTAACAAAAGAAAATAAGGGATTATTTTTAGACAAGTGCATCTTTTGTGGGGAAAGGAATGGCAAGGGTTTTTATCATGCAGGTTGCCCCCTTTCTATGGGGCGGCAGGTGGAGAGGCCCATGTGACAGATACCACATTGGTGTTGACCAGAAAATTTCAGATTGATTGGTAAAGATTATGTGTCTGGGAGAAGTTGAAACAGCAATTAGGTATTAGATCTAGGTTTGGTATCATGGGCTTTAGCACAAGTGATGACATTTGGGGCTTGTGGTTTTCTCTTTAACACAGAGCTCCAGCACCAATTTCTCAGAAATCTGGATAAGCAAGAGGATCAGAGAGGCCTGGAGCTGGTCCTGGGTTGGTCCACATGGGGATTCTGCCCCTCACCAGGGGCTGAGGTCACCCAACCAGAAATAATAAGAGGGGTGTGTCTGGTCTAAGGCTTACTCTTAACACTGTCTTTCTTTTTAAAAAAATTGAGATGTAACCGACATATAACATTGTATTAGTTTTAGGTATACAACATAATGATTTTTTTTTATGGTGACAGTGGTTAACAAAATCCAGTAAGTTTCAGGTGTACAATTTAACAATAAGGCATATATATATTGCATTGTGTGTTCACCTCCCATTGTTAGATTTCTTTCTGTCACCATATATTTGACCACTTTTACCCCATCTACCTCCCCCCTGCCCTCCCACCCCTTACCCTTTGGTAACCACTAGTCTATTGTTCATGTCTGTGAGTCTCTGTTTGTTTGTCCTGTTCATTTGTTGCTTTTAGTTTTATATCCCACATATAAGTGATATCATGTGGTTTTCAACTTTTTCTGTCTGGCTTATTTCACTTAGCATGATTATCTCAAGGTTCATCCATATTGTCACAAATGGCAGTATTTCATCTCTTCTGATGGCTAATATTCCATGGTATATACATACCACAGCTTCTTTATCTAATCATCTATCATAGGACACTTCGATTGCTTCCATGTCCTGGCCACCATGAATAATGCTGCTATGAACATCGGTGTGCAAATATCTTTTCGGATATTCAGATAGTTTTCATTTGATATATGTATATATTGTGAAATGGTTACCTGAATAAGTAGTTAACATCTATATCACATACGATTACAATTTTTTCCTTGTGATGAGAACTTTTAAGATAACATTTTCTTTTTTTTATATTACCTATGATACAAATGAAAGACATGGGTTAAGATAAAAATAGAAAGAAGGACCTATGCTTCTAGATACAGAGATTAATTTTCATCTCTAAGCACTAAGAAAGGGAAAATAACAGGAGAGAAAGACCCTGATGAGATATCTATGAAGGAGGTAAAGAAAAGGGCAAATAGAATCTAGACTATTAAACTGCACAGAGATAAACTCATGGTTCTCACTAACATCTGAATATTTTTTGCAATTATTTCCTCTCCTTTCTTGCCTTTTTTCCTTCTTCTTTCTCTTCTTTTCCTTTCTCCTTCCTTCCTTCCTTCCTTCCTTCCTTCCTTCCTTCCTTCCTTCCTTCCTTCTTTCCTTCCTTCCTTCCTACTTTCCTTCCCCTCCCCATATTTATATGTTCAAAGACCATCATGCAGAAAAGATCATGTGTGTTTATTCTAGAAATTACCAGTGAGAGAGAGGCAAAAAAAAAAGCATTCAAAATTGAGTGTCTTGTTTTCTCTCAAGTGTAAAAATAGGTAACAAAGTACTGAAGTTTTCTATGTGCATATACTATGTCAAACACTGCATTTATTATTGTAAGTTGCATCCTTACCCTGAAAGTATAATTATTCAGGTGTGGCTATTTTCAGGTGTATTTGCAGTTATTTCCTCTATCTCTTCTCCAACCTTTCTGCGGATCTGTTAAGTGGTCTGGACATTAGGGTTAACTAATTAAGAGATATTTTCTCTCTAGGACTCGGAGGGTGTCACACTGAATTATTATTTTATTTTTTGTGCTTAGGACCCCCTACACATTATTCTCTCTCCTAATATTCTATTATAGAAAAAAATGCTTCACCCTAGCTTCAGAGAAGGACATTTTAGTCTTCAAATAATGAAAAGAGAAATATATTACTCAGCACATTTCTTTCTCTCTTTCCTTAAGGGAAAGTATAAAAGCACTTGTCACTTGTGGATACATTATATCCATTCATGACTAAAAAGGCCATATGTTCCAAATGATACAATTATAAGACTGTGGAGCCCCTATCAGCTTGGGTTCCCAAATGACTGTAGAGCAGAACCTCTGTGCCCAACATTTGTTAAAATCGGTTACATATGCAATATGACTAACCCAAGACAGATCCATAGAGCCTCCATTGATCAGGCCGCATTTTCTAACTTGACCTCAGGTCTTGCAGACGTGCCGTTTTGGTGGTATCAGTCAATACAGAGTAACCATGTGGGATCAAGGGATAATGGGAGACTGAAGACCAAAGAATAAGTAAAGGATTTTATTTGTTAGGATGTCAGTTCAAGTTTTTGAAAAAGAAATATGGAACCAGAGTGATTCCATAGGAGGCTGAATTATGAAATTGTTCAAGGAAGTACCACATCATGGTTATGTATGCCAGTTCTGGAGTCTGACTTCCTTAAGTCAGTTCTCAACTCTGCCACCTATTAGCTGTATCTTTGATACACCTATTAACTGTATCTAAGCATCCTCCTGCCCAGTTTCCTCAAATATAAATGAATGCATTGTACCTAACCTTTAGGTTTTATGAAAGAATTAAGTAAGCTGTTTTTAAATACCTATCTTCTGACTCTGCCCACTACAATGGGCTAAAAACAATGACCGATTCAGTAGCATTGAGAACTCCTTAGTGACCAGATTGTGGTCTCTAGATACCATTTATCACTTTAAAGAACTAGGGCTCCCTACAGAAATGGCTGGTTCCAGGTCTAAAACTAGAAATGCATAAGATGGGCATATGACATTTTTCATGCCAAATTTAATGGAGATATGAGAATGATAAGTTCATTTCAGAAGGACTTACGAGGCAAGTTGAAGAGGCTTTTACTGGCCAATGATTGGACAATTTGAGAATCAAAATGAATAATAATTGCAATGAATTAAAACATATCAAATCCATTTAAAATCCAGGAGTTCATGATGATACAATGTTCATCTCTAGATAATGCTCAAAACCAATTTATTATTTTTAAAAGTGATAAATACTGGAATCAAGATGTATTTTGCCTTTCTTAGAGAAATTCTGTCTCAAGGTGACCACCTATTTGACCAGAGAAAATTCCTCTTTGTGGAAGTATTTCAGCCAATAAATGAACAAAGAATTAGGATGTCAGCATTTTGTAACTCTTGATGAATTAATGGATCCAGGAAATAATTATTTCAAGAAACAAGACAAACAATATGTGCTTCTTCATGAAAATACTTAAGGATGTTTGCCAAAAAAAAAAAAAAGAGAGAGAGAGAGAGAAAAGAAATTGAACCTAAATGTAATCAAGCTTCTAGACTAGAGGTAAGCAGACTTTTTCAGTAAAGAGCCAGATAGTAAATATTTTAGGTTTTGTGGGCTATAGGGCCTCTGTCACAAGTACTCAACTTGGATGTTGTAGTACGCGAGCCACCATGGACAATACATAAACAAATGACTGTATTCCAGTAAATCTTTATTTATAAAACTGTATTTTAGAATACAGCCTCAATAATGTTATTCTAGAATTATTATTTGCTTGTAGGCATCTTTAGGGAGAAAACAATGCTTCATTCCTATATTCTTCTAAGTACCCCGACTCAACAAAGAATAGATGGAAAATAAAGACTTTGGAACAGAAGCTGGTGGGGGGAAGTTTTGTAGGAATATAAAGCAAGGAAAGGAGAAGAAAGAAGAGAAGGGAGAGAAGAAACCAGGAAAATAGATTTGTAACTAATCTGGTCTTAAAATATAGACAAATTTAAGAAAATTTCTCTTAAATTTTGTTTTGTCACCTCCATCTTTTCTATTAGGACCATCAACAACATGAAATCAGGAAACCTCTCCAATATTGCAGAATTCCTCCTTCTGGGACTGTCAGATGATCCAGAACTGCAGCCCCTCCTGTTCTGCCTGTTCCTGTCCATGTACCTGGTCACCGTGCTTGGTAACCTGCTCATCATTCTGGCCATTATTTATGACTCCCATCTCCACACTCCCATGTATTTCTTCCTCTCTCACCTGTCTTTTGTTGACATCTGTTTCACCACCACCACGATCCCAAAGATACTAGTGAACATCCAGACACAGAGAAGACACATCAGTTACGCAGGCTGCCTCGCCCAAATCTGCTTTGTCCTGACTTTTGCTGGATTGGAAAATGGAATTCTGGTAATGATGGCTTATGATCGATTTGTAGCCATCTGTCACCCACTGAGGTACAATGTCATCATGACTCCCAAACTCTGTGGGCTGCTGGTTCTGCTGTCTTTCCTTATTAGTGTTCTAAATGCTCTCCTCCACACTTTGATGGTACTGCGGCTGTCCTTCTGCACAGACCTGAAAATGCCCCATTTTTTCTGTGAATTAGCTCATATTCTAAAGCTTGCCTGTTCTGATATCTTCATCAATAACATCTTTGTATATTTAGTGACCAGCCTGTTGGATGTTGTTCCTCTCTCTGGGATAATTTTTTCTTATACCCAAATTGTCTCTTCCATCTTGAAAATTCCATCAGCTGGTGGAAAATATAAGACTTTTTCCATCTGTGGATCACACTTAATAGTTGTTTTCTTGTTCTATGGGACAGGTTTTGGGGTATACCTTAGTTCTGCAGTTACTCACTCTTCTAGGAAAAGTGCAATCGTATCAGTGATATATACGGTGGTCACTCCTATGATGAATCCCTTTATCTACAGTCTGAGGAACAAGGACATGATGGGAGCTTTGAGTAAGATCATCTCTAGAATATCATCTTTCCACTGACGTGTCAGCTGCTTCAGGCTTGTACCGCAGGAACATGACACAGATAAATAGTGAGAGATCTAGAAAGCCTAACTAACTTCTTTGAGTACCCAAGAGCAGAAATCATCTGGTTGAGGGTGAGACTTTTGGAATTGGACCAGATAAGTTTGAATCCTACCTCTGCTAAACCATAGCTCTGTGATCTTTGACAATTTATTTTAACTTTTTAAGCTCAGTTTCCTCATCTATAAAATTGGCATAATTGTATTAGTTTACATGTTAGGAAGATTTGAGATGCTTTGGTTTTATCAGTGAGGATCCATGCCTTCAGCCATAATAAGATAAAAGTTTCAACCCCAATAGGATCAAGTGATAAAAACAATTATCATCTTTCCTAACAAAAGCTTCAGAGATGGGGCAGGTCCAGGCACAGAACCATTTCACTCTGCCACATGTTGGCTTCTTCTTAAGGCTGTTTCCTGACAATCAGCAATGCAAGGACATTTCAGATACAATAACCAGAAAGAGAAAACTGACTGACTGTCTCTCACTGGGTCTCTTTGTAATGCAGACATAATTTTTCCAAGAAGACATCCAGAAGACTTTTTTTTTTTAATCATCAGCCTGAATTAGGCATGTGCCAGGTATTAGTTTCCTGTTGTTGTAACACATTGGCATACGCTTAGTAGCTTAAAACAATACAAATGTGTTCTTTTGCAGTCCTGGAGGTCAGAAGTCTGAAATCAGCTACACTGAGGTAAAGTCAGAAAATAGGGTTCATTCTGAAAGCTCTGAGGGGAGAGTGAAATGAGGGAGTTAGTTTTTAATGGGGACAGTTTCTGTTTGGGATGATGAAAATGTTCTGGAAATGGATGGTGGTGATTGTCATGCAACACTGTGAATGTTCTTAATGCTATGGAGTTGTACACTTAAAATGGCTGAAATGGTAAACATTACACTATACATCTTATCACAATAAAAACTCTCAAGGAAAGGAATTGAAATTGATAAATAATATCTTTCTAGGCTGAAAACAAACAAAAGTCATTCCAATTACCAAAGCCTTAAACACAAAAATACAAGTGACTAAATATTTCAGAAGGGAATATCTGAAAATATTTTTATGACCTGAGGAGATACGCATTTTTCTCTTTTTCAAAAATTATTCGACACTGACATTTTATTTTCTGAACTTTCTCATTTTTACAAAAAGAAAGGCAGTTATCAAAAACATCAAACAGCTTACAGAATTTCCACACCAGTTTTCACTTGCTGGTGATTATGAAACTGGTGTCCAGTGTAAATACTAAACACAGGCTGATTTCCCTCTTGGTGACATTCATTCGGGTGATTTGTTTTAGAATTACTGAATAACATTTCATAAGCACTAGTCATTTTTTTTTTTTTAAGAACTGATTTGGGTTTGACAGGGTAGGCAGATGGATATGAGCCAGAGGGAGAGGGACAATGAAAGGGTTAACGAGGCCCGGAGAACAGCTCAGCTGAAGAATATATACAACCAGGTGTCTGGCAGGCTTCCGGAGCCTTCCAGAATGATACCCCAAGGTCAGAAGCCAGATAGGCAGGTAAAGGGATCTGACAGCACCTGGTGCCTTCCTCACCCCACCTCCCACCCCAAGGTCAGAAGCCCCTTAGGCAGGTAAAGGGATCTGACAGCACCTGGTGCTTTCCTCACCCCACTTCCCACCCTTCCTCGCA